TGTATACAGAGTTCAACACCTAATGACGACAGTCTGCTTCATGGTTTAATGCAAACATAAGTCTTATATTTAGATACCCTCTGTTCCGGATATCGAACACTTTTACTTTATAAATATAGCATACCTTATATATATAATATGAAAAGCTCAAACACTAATATTCCTTGGTTATAGTTTATTACATTGGAATCGTAATCACGATCCAATTCATCAGACTTACAAATTCAAAAAGAAATCGGATTTGTAGGTCTGATGATTTGGATCGTGATTACGATTCCAATGTAATACATTATAAACATGGAATATTAGTGTTTGAGCCTGTTATATTATATTCTTACTCAAACTTGGACATTGAGTTCTATCTGGATTCTATCCTCTTGGTAATATATATATATATATATATATATATATATATATATATATATATATATATACTAGCAGCATGGCCCGGCGTTGCCTGTGCTTGATTCAAAAATCGTACGACTCATACAGCAATCGCTATCACTTGACTTAAACTATTTTTGACCTTCCTTGCCTTTAAAGGAGTGCCCTTTGCCGTGCTGATGTTGCTACATGCCTTACTTCTTGCCTATCTCATACTGCAAAGTTTTTCTAAGCTCTATACTAAGCATTAAATCTGTTACGAAAAAAGAACTAAACAAAATGAACACAAAACGATTAGCTTTAAAAAAGGACTCGTAACTGGAAAAACTGAATGAAAAAAGAATGTTAACAACAAATACTTTTTCACACCCAACCCAGTTCTGCGGAATCAGAATCAACGTTGAGTTTAAGCAAGCGAATGAGCCAATTGGAGTAAAGTGCCATGCAGATTTAAATTTTTCCCCACTTGTGACGAATGCAGCTATCGATTTTATTTGCATGCTAGCATTCTAGTTAACATTCGTGTCAGTCAGCTGTTGGCTCGCACGCTGGCCAATAGAATCTTCCTGCTTATTTGTGGCAGCCAACTATAGGCTCTCACTCTGGTCAGTACAAAATGGCCGCAAACTACATGAAAACTGCCGTAGAAGCATGAAAATGTCGATTATTTCCTCTATCGATGGGAGTTGGGAAATGCAATGTCGGTCTTGGCCTTCCCACTAACTTGGAGCATGTGCATGTAAATTTTGGTGCAAATCCGTCAAAAATTGCGGCCGTGCATTCGTTACACACACATCCTCCCTTTTATAGATAGAGATAAAATGCTAAAAATATAATTTTATTGTATTCTATATCTATGGGAAAAGTGTTCAAAACGTGTGTATGTAAAAATAAATATAAAACCAGACACACAGATCTAAAACAACATGCGGTGACAGTCTGAGGCTTTAATGCAATCTACGGGCCTGAAGATTGCGTTCAAAGCAGGATACAGACTGTCGCCATTGGGTGCTGAGCTGAGTATCCACTTTTTTTAATATATATATATATATATATATATATATATATATATATATATATGTATGTGTGTGTGTGTGTATATATATATATATATATATATATATATATATATTATATATTTGTGTTTGTTATCTATCTATCTCTATATATATGCAGAAATTTGTGTATGATAATACAGACGTTAATAGTCAGAGTTGAATTAGACTAGGAAACAGAAGTGTTAAAAAAGTGCTAAATACACATGTAAAAAATATTAAACTTTAATATGTGGAGCTTTTAAGTCTAGAAAATGAGGAAATCAGTCCATTACGCTACCTTGGTTTCAACCTTTCGGTACCTGCAGGTGATTTGGTCAGTTGATTTTCTAACATTTTATTTTTTAATAAAAAATTTATGAACGCAATTATTAAAAAGAAAATGGATGAATAAGCACACGACGTGAGGTGTGGTAGAAAGTAAGGATGAAGAAGAGAGGAAATCAAGTATATATATACACAAAATATATATATATATATATATATATATATATATATATATATATATATATATATATATATCCGTCTCTACTCCTCTTAACCATGGAATCAATCATGGAATGGAATCAATTATTAAACATATTTTGAGAAACTTTTGCAATGAATCAAGGCTAAAGGAGGATATTTTGAAGAGAGTAAAATTTAATCATAAAATGTTTTTTTCCTTTTTGTCATAACAACATTTCTAATGAAAAAGGTCTTATTTTTTTAACCTTCTATATAATAAATGCAAATGTCAGTGTGTCGCAGTGTTAAGGGGACACAACTCACTAAGTCCCCAAGTTTTCATTATTGCGATTGTTTTCAGCGATAGATTTTACGTGATTTTTTGTGAGGAATTTTTTTGTATGTTAACAATTTTTAGAACTTAGAAAAAAAATTGGGGAATAATCGAAATTAATTGTGAAATCCAGCGAAAGTCACCTATGAAATACAAATAATTGTTTGTACAGAAAGTAAGGACCTACGTACATCAAATTGTCTTTGAATTAAGTGGTGACAGAAGAATTATCGTTGAACTTTTAAGCTTAGATATTAAGGCAATACTTAAATTTAGCTATCAATTTTTAGCTCTGTACTTTATGGTTGCCTATCGCATACGGCATCTGTATGTCTCGCAAAAAGAAATCTCCTCCAACAGAGGACCAGATTGCAATGAAACGAACCAAGGCTGCAGCGAGGAAAAGAAAGTCTCATGCAACTGAAAATCCAGATCAAGTGGAATCCAGAAGTGCTTCTAATGTTGAGAATATGCAAAGACTTGGGGAGTACCGAACAAGCCGGAGGCCAAATTAAAAGCCTTCCGCGGGAGCTAGATTAAATGCCGCCCGATAGGATGGTTTTTAAGCTAGTGTATAATAATGTTCTCTTATTTAAAGTAGAAAACAACTACTTTTGGGGCGAATTTCAAAAATTACCCGGGGGTTCCTCAAAAGTTTGAACTGCAGTATATTCAAGAAAAAATATCAAAATTATCAGGTGGAAGGTAATAACGGGTTGTATTTTTTCCAACCACTATGTTCAAAAGCTCCCTCAACCCACAGAAATAAATTTTACCCCTTCAGCTTTAATAAATATGTCCATTCTTGTAACAAAAGCCTGAAATATATAGAATAGAATTCTACAATTAATGTTCTACGACAATCCCTACCACACAGAATTCCCTCAAGAGACTAAAGAAATCATCTCATATTAATAGTGTCCATGACAGCATTCACCTGCCGTCATAACAATTCTAAAACCATTACTATTATGACAACGTTTCGACCGCTGGACTTTTCAGCTTTCTTTACTTACTGTCACACTCCATAACCTCAATAGGAGACTAAACAGTGGAGTAGTGGATAGCGGCTCGGATTGAAGAATCGGAGAGCTGAGTTCGAATTCCAGTCGATTCCATTACATTCACTTAACCTTGGGAAAGGTACGAATTCTCTTCTTCCTCAACTATGATTAAATAGCAGGACAGACCGGGTTCTATAGCCTTGGATGGTAACTGGTCTAACGCAGAAAGTGGCGACAGAAAAATTATCGTTGAACTTTTAAAAGGTAAGCTTAAATATTAATGCAATACTTAAATTTAGCTATCAATTTTGAGTTCTGTACTTTATGGTTGCCTATCGTATACAACAGCAGCAGTATACCTCGCAAAAAGATATCAGAGGACCAGATTGCAATCAAAAGAAAAAAAATGGCAACCTACTGTGGGGAAAAATCTGCCTCGTCAGTCATGTATCGAAAGATAGATGATCGCCTAAGCGTGTATCATGCATGGCACATAACTGACTGATTTGTTTAAGGCAAGACAGAGTAGACAGGCAAAAAGATATTCACTCGGGACAAAGAATGTGATTTCACGCAGTTTTTTTTAAATCTTCAAAAAGGTTTCATATATATTTCTGCCTAAGCCTTGTTGTTTTTTTTATTCTTTGTCCTCTTAAAAATTCCACGGTGGTTCAAACACTAACGAGCAGTCTCCTCAATATTTTCCATATTTATTCAAACCAATTTCGATTTTTAGTTCTTGGTAGTATCCGCAGTCATGTTTTTTCTTTCGTTTTCTTTTCTTTTAAAACTTTTTCATTTGTTCCAATTCTGGGATAATAAAACAAAATTCTAAAAGTAAAACACTGTAGAACCAACTACAATTAACAAGCTTCAAAACTTTTGAAGCTCTCTAGCAATATCTTGGTATATTTTCCAATTCTCTAGATTCACTCTTCGGCTTGCAGTGACATAACAATATTTTCGCTTTTTACGCGAACATCATTAATAATTTACATCGTGATTTATATTGATTGATTTTTTTAATCATTTCAGCCCACGTAAGGCAATAAAGCCACTAAGACACAAGGGGGTTATCGAGTGTGAGAGGAGATGAGAAAAAGAAAACATTACTAAGGAGAGAATATAGTCAAAGAACTGGAATTAAGAAGACAGAGATTAACATTACATTTAAATTTTTGAAGTTGACTGAAATGCTAGAAGCCAGAAGAGAGTACCACAAGCGAGAGGTGCGAGAGAAGCGATTGTTAGTATAGAACTTAAGGTTACATCGAGCCATTTCAACTGTAAAATGATGAGATCTTACTGCCAATCTAATACTGCGATTAAATTCATAAAGTTTAGTTATCAAATAGCAAAGTTGATTAGAACAACCGTCAAGATATGTATAGGGACTGAAGCCAAGATGCCAGGTAAGGACGAATAACATTGCAGATTGCATTTTACCTAGAATCTCTAAATATCAGCAGAACAGATGTGACAGCAATATTCAATGTATGGCCGAATGGTATAAATGTGTAAGACAAATTTAAAAATTAACTTGCACTATTCACTGAACTAACAGTGATATTTTATTGTTTATCAACCTTCTGCAGATTATTTTAACGCCATAAAATATTTTTAAATTCTAAGAATTTTTTGAATTAATAATGATTTACTGATAGACATTTTATTAATTAACCCATAGCTGGGGGAAGAAGAGGTGGTTCTATACCTTTCTCAAGGGTATTTGAGCGTAAGTGATTATAATGAACACGACGAACACGCACATTCAAGCTTACAGCACCTGGTATTCAGAAATGGTCAACCATTTAGGTTCTGACTAGGTTCGATGTTGCTTAACTACGGTGATCGTATGGGAACCGGTATTTCAACGTGATATGGCCGTAAGTCCTGTGATCTATAATAGTTAATCACAGCGTAGAATGGGAACGGATCTCAGTCCTAAACAATGCCTACGATGTTGGAACAGACGACATACTAACGAAATTCCTGTCAGTCAAACGACATCAGTCCTTGGCTCGACTCATGGCTGCAATTTTGACCGCAAGTTGACAGGTTGTAAAATGGAAATAATAATAATAGTTAACTAGAAATTTCTGAAAAATTAGGTTAACCCGAAATGCAGATTCTGTGATAAATATCCAGAAACAATTGATCATCTTGTATTAGGTTGCACTTTGTTAGCACTAGCTGAATATAAAACACGACATGATAAAATGGGTTAATATCTACACTGGAAAATATGTAACTTTTACGAGAAGGAAACTGTAAGAAACTGGTATGAACACCACCCAGACCCGGTTAACGAAGATAGTACCCGTAACAATTTTATGGGACTTTACAATACACACAGACAGTACAAAGAAAGCTTATTTACCAGACATTGTTATAAAAGACTACAGAAACAACATGTGCTTTCTTACTGACGTGGCATTTCATGCAGATTGTAATGTACATTTGAAGATCTTCAAAAAAAAAACAAAAAACTATCAAAATACAAGTATTTTGAAGTGAATATCTCAAAAAATGTGACACATTAGTAAATCAATCCGATAGACGCAGTGATAGGATTCCTAATAGCTCATACCTTTAAAAAAAATACAAAAAATTGAACACAGGAGTACAGCGCAGACATTACAAAGAGCTTTATCTATGTAAAATGTGTGTGATCTTAGGGGTTTTTTTCTTTTGTTTTTTTTTTACAAAAATTATTAGTAGAAAAATTCATGAAGCTATTTCTGACCTTATGTTTTTGGTTGGGGCCCGGAAGAAAATATACAACAGAAATCCAAGGAAATAATAATAATAATAATAATAATAATAATAATAAATAATAATAATAATAAAAAGTACAGCACACACACTAAAGGAGAACTTTGTCTATGTAACGCTAGCAACTTCATCGGAGATAAAAAAAAAAAAAAAAAAAAAAATTAACATGAAATGTATAACACAACACCACGACCTGCCTTAGGTCTTTCCGCAGACTTGGTAGGTAGTGTGTCCATAGCAGAAATAATAATAATAATAATAATAATAATAATAATAATAAAGAAGGTGGAAGAGGTCTTATTCAGCTAGAATTGTCATACAAGACAACAACTATTGGCTTACTAACTTACATGGAAACAACAAATGACTGGATGATAAAATTAGTGAAACAACATGAAAACAGAAAGAAAAAAATATTCAATAATAAAAGAAGGCAGAAAATACAAACAACATTTACATTTAGTAGATTCTGTAGTAAATCAAAACAGAAGCCAAGAACCAACTATTGCAGCAAAAAGATATGAAAAAGAAAGCCAAGGATAAAGCCTTGAACAGATGAAACAACGCTGGCAAGACAAACCTCTGCATGGCCAATATCCAGAACGTGCAAATAAACCCAATGTTGATAAAGTTAATACTCATCGATGGTTACGAGCATCTGGATTAAAAGTCTGAAACTGAAGGCTTTATTCTTGCAGCGCAAGACCAGAGTCTTTTTCACTAGGAATTTTCAGGCAAATATCATACATAATAATGTGGATCCAAATGCAGGTTCTGTGACAAATACCAAGAAACAATAGATCATCTAATCTCAGGATGTTCTATACTTGCCCCAAATGAATATAAAAATCGTCACGATAGTGGGGCAATACTTACACTGGACAATGTGCAAACACTTTGAAAAATGTAAGCAAACACTAGTATGAACATCGGCCAGCGCCGGTTACAGAAATAGAAGATGTCACCATTCTAAGGGGATTATACCATCCACACAGACAGAAAAATTGAAGCAAATAGGCCGGACATCATTGTCAAAAAAACCAGAAAAAAAAAAACTTTTACTAATTGATATGGCTTGTCCAGCGGATTGTAACATAGCAACCAAGGAATTTGAAAAACTATCAAAATACAAAGACCTGGAAATTGAAACAGAAAAAATGTGGAAATTGAAAAAAGAATAATACCAGTGGTAATAGGTGCACTTGGAATTATAAAAAATGGAACAAAACAACACATTGAAAGAATCCTGGAAAACCCCAGCTTAAGAGACATACAGAAAATTGTCTTATTAAGTACAGCACACACACTAAGGAGAACTTTGTCTATGTAACGCTAGCAACTTCATCGGAGATAAAAAAAAAAAAAAAAAAAAAAATTATGAAATGTGGATAACAACACACCACGACCTGCCTTGGGGGTCTTTCCGCAGACTTGGTAGGTGTGTCCATATGAAATCGAATGATGATGATAATAATAATAATAATATCCTTGCTGCACAGGACCAGTGCTTGTTAACTAGAAATTATCAAGCACAAATACTAAAAAAATGCCTTAGTTCAAAGTACAGAATCTATGATAAATATCCAGAAACAAAAGACCATCTTGTATAAGGTTGTACGATATTGGCACCCACTAAATATAAAACCTGGCATGACAGACTGAGCCAATATCTGCACTGGAAAATCTGCAACATTTACAGAAAGAAAACTGCAAGAAATTAGTATGAACACCTCCCAGACCCTGTTACGGAGATAGGACCTGTTATAATTTTATGGGACTTCATAATATACACAGACAGAACAATCAAAGATAATCGTCCTGATATCGGGATTAGAGACCCGCAAAAAACAAAAAGTGTCTCCTTATTGATATGACAGTTCCTGTAAATTGCAATGTATCTTTGAAGATCTTCAAAAAGCTACAAGGACCTTGAAATCGAAATCTTGACACACATGAGAACATCAACAATTCCAGTTGTAGTTGGAGCCCTCGGATTGATTGGAAAAGATCGCAATAGGCTTATTGAAGGGATTCCTGTCCTCACGAGTACAGCCTACATCTTACGAAAGGCCTTAACTATGTAAAATATTCTTTTTTTATTGATCAGTGGAAAATTTCTGACCGTAGGTATTTTGGCGGGACCCAGAAAAAAAATGAATACACACCAGAAATAATAATAATAATAATAATAATAATAATAATAATAATACACGGTTGACACCGTGACCTCAGCATCTGTTTTCTACCATTGGATGTAAGAATAACAATGAACTTGTTCAGAACTGGAACTCTACATTATTCTTGGTTTCTTTTAATCAGCTCTTGAAAGCAAAAATCGAAAACATACGCACTTATAATAAATAGTTTAATTTTAACAATTCCATTGTTCCTCAAAAGACACTAGCAGTTATTGTCCATACATCCAGATTGTCGCAAAATACATGTAAACATTTTATTTCTATCACATTAGCAAATGGCCGCTAAATTAAACGACAATGTGCAATTAAGTTAAAGATGTTCAAGAAAGAAAATATCTATAAAATTAATTGACTTTTGCGTATATTTTGTTAAAACTGAATTGGCTCTTAGGAAAATGAACTAAAATTGATTTGCCTCTCGCTTTACCCACTGACAAACTGTTATTCAAAAAGTAAAAAATAAAAAAAATATAAAAAAATAGTTTGAAAATTGAGTTTGCACAGAAATCGAATAAATTTGAAGTTCATTTCATTGCTTAAGTGCTAATTTCGAGTAAAAAAAAAAAAAAGAATCTTTTCCAATTTTGTCATTTTGAGAATTGCGCATAATTAAACATATTAGATCACTCGACATCAAATATGCGCTTATGCCACGAAGGAATAGCGACTTGGCAGTTGTCAAATGACAAGAGGTTTGATGGTCTACGGTTTAAACTACGATCTCAACAGGCCTTGCATTAATCCCAATTGGAAGAAAATTAATCCCGGCCGTGTGGCGCCTCTTTGGAATTGTAGTGAGTCTGAGTCTGAATGCTCGGTCGTCCTAGATTACGCAAGATTACGCGAGCGTATCTAATACCAGGTGTCCCAATATTGAGCAACGGTGAACGAGCTTTTATATCACTGTATACAATATTAATGATCTAAGGCACAATTACAATCTTTTTTATATATATATATATATATATATATATATATATATATATATATATATATATATATATATGTATGTGTGTGTGTGTGTGTGTGTGTTTAAGACATTTTCTATGTTTATACGTTCTTTTATAGATACAAATATTTAAGTAAATGCCCTGTTTGTAATAAACAGTATTAACAACATTTACCGGCCTGTATAAAGAGAGCATTTACTTAAATATTTTATCTATAAAAAGAACGTATAAACATAAAAAATGTCTTAAATAATTGTCAGACTTTTGTCAATTTTATAATGTATATATATATATATATATATATATATATATATATATATATATATATATATATATATATATATTTAAATTATTTGCTCTGGATTTACATTGAGCTCTCTGGATTTTATCCTCCTTGAGTCTACCCATACGGATTACCTAGTTTTTTCATAAACTATATATATATATATATATATATATATATATATAATAAAAATGTGAATGTCAGTGTCTGATAATTTTTAAACTTAAAGGGACACAATTCTCTAACTTTAATAGCTCATTTCAAATGAAAAAAAAAATGACTGTTCTCACATGACAGTGTTTCAAAATAAAATTGTGCATGTTTTCAACCGTACTCCTAGAGGCCGTAGCCCAACATATCATACCATTTTAGAATCAGGCCGACTCCGTGAGCAAATTAAAAACATTCCGGGTCGGATTCGGACCCGCAATCCTGAAATTTTGGATTTCCAAATTTTCATTACTGCGATTGATTTCGGCGATGTTTTACGACGTATTTTTTTACGATAACAATTTTTCTACCTTGAAAGTAGATTTGGGAATAGTCGAAATTATTTTTGAAATCCAGCGAAAGTCACCCATAACATAAAGACAATTGTTTGTACGGAAAATAAGGGCCTACGTACATCATGTTTTCTTCAAATTAAATTAATTTTCTGATGTTAGGTATAAGTGTTCATTTTGT